CTCTCTCTTCTTCTCTGTTTCGCCAATCTTTTCTAATCCTTCTAAATCTTCATAAGGCTGCGTTTCCAACGTCTGGCGCGTGTACGAGAAAATCGAGTAAAACGGAAATTCCACGCCATCTCTTGCATCCGGGTATCGAGATAACCTCTATTGGATATCGATATCGATATCGATATCAGCAACACTCCACGGTGATTCTCGCGATATTCTCAATCGAGAGGATCTCGATTCAAAGTTTATATAAAGAAGTTCACAAGTTACATATCTTTCAGGCTTATAATTTTATTCGTTTATATTTTGATCTCATCTCATTACTTCTAATGAAACATGGCATGCAAATCTTTTTACCTTTTGACCCATCGAGATGAGGTTCAGATTCCACGATAGACTATAGAGGAAAAAAAAGTCAGTCCGATTGGATTAGGCGAAATGAAGTGAGCACAATACTTTCGCAGAGAGCGTATCTCGGTGGCATAAGCCACTTTAGAGCCGGCTTTGCACTCTTGCGGCGCGATTTCGTGTGCACAGCGCCTCAGGTTATATCCCGCGGCTCCTGCAGCTGCGACGGAGTTAAGCGGGAGGAAAGCCTCATATACGCGGGAACGTGTTACGGTCGTGGAGCGTCTATAATCCTTAAGGAACCCGACCGGGCGATAAAGACACGGTCGGCCCGGGGACGTGTCCACCCCACCGGAGTGCCATTCGAAACGGCACGGCGTTCGCGCCATCCAACGAAAATACCAAAATCGAATTGCCGAGTAATTTCCTCCCTAATGCACTGGGCTTCGTTGCCCCGGAAACGAGCGCGGACGTCGACGGCGCCGCAAAAACCGCCAAATCTTCTCTGTCCCGAGAACAGACGGGAGATTGTACGAAGAGAGAGACAGCTCGCCGCGAACACGTAACCCCCGTGTCCCGATCTCATCAAGACCTTCGGCTCCGTTGTTCCCGAAGCGCTTTTCTTCGGGAGCAATCACGTTCTGCATACGCGGATTTATTTCTACCACTCTCGGAATTAAAAAATAAGTTTGCCAATTTCAGGAGCCAAGTATTTTATACGATGATTGCCTCGATTTTCTGAAATATATATATATAGAAGAAAGAATTGTTGCTATTTGAAAATGTTGATTTTATAAAAATACATTTTTTTTTTATTTCGAAAATTAAGGAATTAATTTATTAAATGAATATTGGTAATACATCCACTTTTTTTATTAAGTAGATATTGGAAATATATTTTTCATTGAGTAAAGAGATTATGAGTCTGATGAATCGGAAAATCAAATTCTTTTTAACATCGTGTAAAATTTTTATTTAAATAAATAAACAAACAATGTTTGTGGCCAAAAAATATATAATAAAAATTATATAAAAATATATATAATAAAATTAATAACAAAGATAAAAAAGTGTAAAAGATAAAAAAATGCTTATTTTTTATTTTAGATACTTTATCGAAGCGGAATCGTATGATTATTATATGTATAAGCGTGCACTTATTTAGAATGCTATTATTAGTCTTCTGTTTCAATATCTTTTGCACACACATAGTTTTTCATCTTGATACTTTATTATCAAAAATATATATTTTTAAATATAAGAAAAAACTTTATTTGTATCTTTTTGTTTAAATCAAAATTTTACACGTCTTTAAAGTATTCTATTTTTCGATTTGCTGGGTTTTGTAATATTTCTCTCTCTTTTCGAGCTTATTTAAGTTTACATAAATGTATATTATCACAATATTTTTCCAGTATTTTCTACTCATAATTAGGAGAAATTAATTTATCGGTCTCGGAACGACTGCCACGGCAACAGGTTCAATGTCAATAGCACTGTTCGTTTGCGAAGTGTCAATAAATATACGAGGCAATGAAAAGGCTATTAATAAGAGTGAAATGCGGCTAATGGATGAAATCGTGGGCTGCACAATCGGCTACAAACAATGGCGCGACGTCAAAAAAATAACTCGGGTCGTCGAGGGCGAAGAATTTCGGAATCTCGGTCGGAGAGGCGAGCGGAAACGAGACGCCGATTACTTTGGCTTTGTGTCAAAATACCTTGTGTCTACTTGGCGATACTTTCGCGCATCTCCAGAACCGCGATGTTTGCCCGTTATAATCACACAGCGGCAATATCTGAGAGATCGCGTCTCTGCGTGAGCCAACTCCAACTTTAACTCGAACCCGCCCGCGTTAATTACCAACTCGGGAATCTCGCTGTTTATTTTCGGAGTAAGATGAGATTTTTTTTTTTTTTAAGCCGGTTTAACTCGACGAGTCGGAAGCGCTTTTCGACGTGCACGTCGCGCGCGTTTAATTTCGGAATCTCGGTCGGAGAGGCGAGCGGAAACGAGACGCCGATTACTTTGGCTTTGTGTCAAAATACCTTGTGTCTACTTGGCGATACTTTCGCGCATCTCCAGAACCGCGATGTTTGCCCGTTATAATCACACAGCGGCAATATCTGAGAGATCGCGTCTCTGCGTGAGCCAACTCCAACTTTAACTCGAACCCGCCCGCGTTAATTACCAACTCGGGAATCTCGCTGTTTATTTTCGGAGTAAGATGAGATTTTTTTTTTTTTAAGCCGGTTTAACTCGACGAGTCGGAAGCGCTTTTCGACGTGCACGTCGCGCTCGTTTCCGAATGGAATACACGTATTACTCGATCGCGTTGTTGTTCCGCGAAACTACGATGAATATTGATGACCGCGCCGCGATGAAATAGTAGAATTAACGGACGTAACGATTGGAAGGTTAATTGAGAGTAATGCTTGTATCCTTTTTCGGTCGGAGAAACAGCATTAATTTCGAATGGAAAGGATGGATGGCGATAAGTCCCCAAAATACTCTTTTTTTTTTTTTTTAATACGCGGAGTCGATTTTATTTTATATTTTAGTGAATATAGAAGATATATGGAGTCTTAAAAATATAAAAATATTTTTTTTATTATACACTCACAGCACAAAGTGCGGTCTGTTTTATTTTTATTTTATTGCGAATATTATTTGAAGAAATAAACTATCTTATTTATTTGAATATCATTATTTATTTATTTTATTGATGTATCAATAATATTCCATTAGTGCAGTCTTGTTTACGTAGTTATTGAAAGACAGAAAATGATTTAAAAAATGCCTAAATCATGTTTTTGTTGCTGTAAATAAAAAATAAATATTTCAATACAATTTATACATTTTTTATTAATATTACTAGTATAATAATACTATCAATTTATAATAACAAAAATAACTGAGACCGATTGAGGCCTTTATCGCCACCCACCCATTTGCACGATGTATAATGTCAAATTTTCGACGCGCCAGAAGATATCTTTTGACGGTTGCTTCCGGGACCGAAAAATGCGGGCAAGCTCTTCGCATGACCTCATAGGGTAGAATGTTTTCTTCGAAAGCAAAGGGAGAATAAAATAAGGGAGGATTGTTTAAGGGCGTTGGTTTGAAATTTTTCGAAATAAGTTTGGCGCTGTACAGACGCGCAAGTGATCGTTCAATTTGCATCAGAGAAACGCATGCATCTCCGATATTTCAGTTAAGGTTGCACAAGACTCAAGACAAGACAATATTCGTAAAAATATTGCATTGGTATTGAAAATTTTCAGAAACTTAAACCTTGTCTTGGTTTTGAGTGAAACTTATTGTTAGTAGCAAAAGCTTGCCTTGTATTGTTTTGTCTCGATTGTATTAACAATTTTTATCAATACTGAACAATTGTTTAAAATAATATTTAACAATCTTTATAATATTGTACAATAATTTAAGATTTAATTTATATCGTTTATTTTGTTTATTATATCGATTATTTCTAAATTTGTAATATAAATATTTTTTTATTTATTAAGTAGACTTTTTTAAGTTTGTATAGTATAGTGATTTTTTTCTTATCTAATTTACCGACAAATATACATATTTTAGCCTTTTTTTAAAAACCAATAATCTTGACAATCTTAGTTTTAATATTAGTATATTATATTTATATTAGTATATTTAATATTAGTAATAGTTTTATTATCTTGATAAATAATTAAAAATTTTGTCTTGTTTTTATTTTGAATTTCGAGATAAGACATGACAATATCAAGACTAGTCTTGATATCTCGTGCAACCCTAATTCTAGTACTCGCTTTTACGTTCGAGAACCGATACATTCCGCATACAATTGCAAGAACGAAAAGTTCTCTCGCATATTTTGTACTGAGACGCGTAATGCGTATTTTCGTATCATTTCTTTTCCTGATATATATATTTCTTCTTTCTATTTAGTTTTCAATTGTGAAAATTGCGGATAATCAGTACGCGTTAACGATGACGTTGCACGCGAACGCACGCGCTGTGTGGAGTGTCCGATAATGCACTCTATGGAAAGTAATACAATCGAGCTTCCTGTCCCGCTATTACGTAAACATGGAATAACTTTATTAGAAGCTATTACACCGCGCTCTCTGCTAATGGCATCGCTTCTTTTTCTCTCGTCGTCTCTTATTTCAATGCATCTTGTTCGCCTCTTTCTCTTGTTTAAAAGAAGACGTTATCAACATAGAAAACTACTTTCAAACCTACTTTTCATTATCCTGAAATCGTTTCTGTTTTACCTTAGAAAAAAAAATTATAGCTTTATGACAGATAAAAATTGATTTAAAAATTGAGAACTAGAAGAAGAAACTTTTGTGAATCGACTAATTAATTATTAATTAATTAATTAATTAAT